TGATTTAGGAAGCGGGATGAAGTAAGGGCTGTAGAGGCATGCCTGGAGGTAGTTGTGGCATCTGAGGACGATATTTTATAGGAGAGAGGTGCGCAGAAGTCATTTCGAAAAATTATCCTCTGATAGTTAATGCCTTGAGGATGCACCACATTCGGGAAGACACCTTTTTATGGATAACGAAAAGTTACGAAACGTGGTGGAGAAACAAACAAAAGTAATGTGTCAAGAACTCCCAAATATGGCCAATTCAAGTAAAGAAATACTTCATTTTCACTTTTCACAACCGGAAAAAGTAATAGAGGCTTGAAAATGCGGCCAGGGTACATAAGCCGATTAAAAAACTGTCTTTAACAACGGCTAATTTTGTTTTTAACTCATTCATGTTTAGTTGCTCACTCAGCATATAATAAGAAGCTAACATCTCATTGGTCATAATCAAATTACCCACTCTCAAGCACTTCAAAGAAATTGTTTTAGTCACCGTCTCCCACAGAAGATGATGCTTCTTTTAAATGGCGGACGGCCGCCCGTATAGTTCATTATAATTTTAAGTTTGGTAATGACATCCATGTAAGCATTTAAGAAGTGAAGTTAGGCGAACGTACGCTTTCCGTTATTCATAATCAGAGGGAGGGTAGAGTAATAAAAGTTTGAACACCCATTAAAAATAAGTATGGGGCAGAGGGCTGAGGGCGTTCAGAAGTCAGGTGTTAAACGTGTCAGTATAGTGCTATCAGAGGCTGAGTGGGAGGGGGAAGAAGAGAGGTCCCACAATTAGCCATGTTTCGGCTTCGTCGCTGCAGCGTGACATGGCAGGAAGCGTGACGATGCATGCTGAGTTCGTCTTCAGACAGGGGAGCCTTAGGGCCTGTATAAACACCTTCTGGAAACACAAAGTCCGACTGGTCAGCCATTATAAGTTCCTTGACACTGGAACCTGTAAAGAAGGCGTTGGTTTAGAAACCATCAGACCAGTTACTCAGAACAAAGCATTACTCCTTCAGGGTAATGCGAATCTGCTACTCAGTGGAACCAGTTATTGCCTTTTTTGCTGGACCCTAGTATCCACATTATAAGTAAAGGATTTTGCACGATAGGACTTTACGTGCCATATTAAACAGAATTGTCAGCAGGACTGAGCAAGAATTTTGCTAAACATATTGTAGACATTCGCAATTCACGGCGTTGTTCCTGGGCTTGAATCCAATGCACGACTGTATGCGGTTATCGTTATGACTGTCGACAATCAAAGTTGATGTCCACGAATAAAAACCTACAGCTCTTTTCGATGAGAAGGCTCTTACAGAAGAGGATGGATCTTGAGTTTCCAGGGCTAGGTGTCTGCTTGTTTGATTCTTCGGGTTCAGGCCAGCATCAAAAAAGTGGAACATGCTGCCGTTCAGGTTATCCAATAACTGGACGTAGAAAACAGTAGACAGAAACAGATAGCTGTTTCGTGGTCAGTATCGGCCGTAAGTACATCATAGAACTCTTTCTTATATGATAGAGTGAGGTATATAAATATATATGGTAGCAGGTACGCGTACACCAATCTGTTAGAGGACACACTCGTCTGGCCATGTTGCCATTAAAGCTCTCACTCGAGCCTCCACCGCGAGGCGGCTAGGCCATAGGCGGAAGGACATTCGCAAAAAAGACATAGGTCACTAGAATGGCCATATCTGGCTCATTAGCCGTCGTCAGCTAGCAATACCCAACTCCAGTGTTGCCGCTGAGATTGCTGCCACACTCGAGTTTCGAACTCGCGTCTCTCCGGTCAGAGGCAAAAGTTCTAACAATTGAGCTACGAGCTCGTTTGCCTCTGACTGACTAGACGCGATTTCGAAACTCGAGTGTAGCAGCAATCTCAGTGACAACACTGGAGTTGGGTATCACTAGCTGACGACGGTTAATGAGCCGGAAATGGCCATTCTAGTGTCCCATGCCTTTTGTCGGTAATGGCCTTCTGCAGAGGCAAAAACATCGGCGAAACACGTGTCTAGGCTTTTAGCTAGTATCTATGCG